ACCAGAGCCCCCATTCGGCTTTCGAGATCTCTTAGCCGATTTCTTCTTTTTCGAGCTCGGGGAGCCCGATACGTCTTTTCTCTTCCTTTTGTTTTACCTGCTTCAGGGCAGGAACTTCTTCACTACCAGATGGAGGCCTCATGACTATATCTTTCCCGAGTCCTACAAAGAGGAAAGGGGAGATTTACCATACAAACCGATAAAGAGAGAAATCGATAAAAAAATTTACCATGACTGCGGGCCTCCCATCGACCCTTTGATAATTCGACCCAAGCACGCTTAGAGTACGGTCTCTACAACACCGGACCTTCGACCCATTGTTTAAGATCCGGGATCGATTCCGGCATCCGAGCTACGGCAATGATAAGAAAAGAAAAATGGATCAACAAAATGAAAGGCAATCACAAAACCAAACGGGCAAAAAGAAACGTTTACTCACGGCTCATATTCCATTTCTCGGGAAATGGTAAGTCATCGGCAGGGATCAGGTCCAAGGTTTTGATTCGAACAAAATGGCTCATCCAACCCCGATCCCGAGTCTCGTCTATGCTCGAGAATTGCGCTTTGGTTGCTCGGCGAGCAAGCTTGATCAACCCTGCTCGATAAAGTCAGGGACTGTAGAGGCGCATAAGATGATCGGGGGTGAATATACGCCCCTCGACTTTGCTCGAGAAAAATCGAAGAAGAATCACTATCCTCCAAAAGGAAGGGTGGATCTGGCCGAGGGTCACATCGTACCTCTTACAGAAGGCAACGATGACAGGGTCTAGAGGGCCCAACGTGAAAGGATAAGTGTAAACACTTAAGAGCCCTTTGACGTGGGCAGTAATTGATTCATCATGCGATGGGATTACTACGAGTTTATTATCCCAGTTGTATTCTTGTATGACTTTATCGAGAACTTTCTCGGTAATTGAACATTGGTACCTCGACATCGGCTCACACCGACCCGGTATCGGAGAAGGCTTTTCAATTTTAAAATTACCTACAGTCGAGAACCCTACCGGAATGAATTCCTCAAGGCGAGGCTCTTCCACATCCTCGCCACCAGCAGGTCGAGATGAAGAAGCGGTCTCTTTTTGCGGAACAGTTTTAGACGTTTTTGCCATTTAAAATTCCGTGAACAAAGAACGGGAGTATTTGGTGTTTTGAAAAATTTGCAGTAAAACTCACAGATTTGCAGACAGAAAACTCAGAAAAGACGAAAGGGAACTTAGAAAATTTGGAAGATTGAAGACGCAAAAGTGATGAATGATAAAGGGAAGGGTTATTTATAGATTGAAGCAATGACGATTCAATATCAGCGGTGGCCGACCACCGTCTGACACACATTAAATGCCTTGGTAAAACTGAACTGATGGGACAACTATCACGCACGTCATGGTCGGGATCGATGCAGACGTCAGCATATATCTGATCGAGCTGTTGGGAAATCATATCGTTTCTCGCCACATCCTTTTCCAAGAAACGAGGGGACTATCTGTGTACGGTCAAAACCGATTAAGTCGGTCGTACGGACTGGTCGAGGTGATAATACTTCGATCAAATGGTATCTGCGTGACAACGGGTCGAGATCCGAAGTAAGGGCGTCGAGCTTCGAGCTCTAAGACCAATCAACAACAAGATCAGTATCATTATCGAGCTCATATCCAAATCGAACTACGAGGCAAAACGGAGATTATCGAAGATGCATAGACCGACCAACACTCATCCCGAATATTGAGACTCCGAGTCAAAGTCAAGCTCGAACCAAGGCCGAGGGCTCGATCCAATACCGAGCTCGAGCCGGTATCGAGCTCACAGACAAGAGCCGTTGCAACCGCACTGGGGGAGAGAATCTTGGCAGGAATCGAGAAAAAGACAATTTATCATGAGTTCTCCACTATATATTTTTTATATAGATAAAGTAGGATCCTTCTACTATAAAGGGGGAATTCTTGTAAGCATAAGCATAGATTGTAAAAAAAAGACAACTTTAGAGAGATTAACACTTTTGGGCTCATTTACTTTGCCTTGTTCATCAACATTTTCTTTTTCTCTCCCTTATATTTTATTCCATCTGTCAAAGAATATATATATTTTTATTTCACTCTGCAATTTGTACCAAGTTATATCACGTATTCTTAGAACCATATCAAATTTAACTCTATCTAATTTTTTGGGTAAACACTCATATTTAAGAGTAATCGTTAGTTTGGTTTTTTATTCTCTAAATCGAGAGGTCATTCAGAAAATTTATTTTCGTACGTGGTTTTCTTTCAGGCTTGTAATTAATTTCTAGCGATCAGTTTTTTGCTTAATACAACCATATATTCCCGTGAAAGAAAATCAAAATGAAAATAGAGTATCAGGTTTTAAAAGCAATATTATCACGTGGACAGGGGCGGCTCAATGGTGTTTGGAGCCTAAAGCCAAACATCAACGAGGGACCCCAAGTTTTTTGGTATTAAAAATCTCATTTAGTAAAATTTTATTTAAAGTTTATTTTTTTAGTTTTTTGAAATATAAAATTATTAATAATTTATTTATAACCGATTTTTTGACTAGGATTATATATATTTCTATTTTCTAGGATTATTATTCAATTCTTTTAGGATTTCCTGGTTTCTAAAAAAATTATGATTCACCAATTTCTTCTTCTTCTTCTTGGATTCCATTATCGTCTAGCTCAACTATATTAGTGATTTGTTCATCTACCATAAATTTTTCCCTATTTTTTAATTTAAAATTTTATTGTTCGCTAAAAATTTATCAAGCGCTCCTTTTTGGGATTGTATTAAAATTTCAATTCTTCAATTTTTTGGTATTTTTAATACGCGTATTCATATTTTCTTGTTGACATATTAAAATTCTAATAAATAAATAAAAAGATGATACATATACTTACAAACAAAAGATATCAAAAAATAACAAATTCTAGATGCAAAGAAATAAGAAGAGTACGGAACAATTGAACTTGGTTTAACTAACAGTCATAGATAACTTGATATTAGTTTTGCTGCTTCAATATTTGTAGTGCAATGCGGGAAAGCTTGACAAAAAAGGGGTTGCAATTGCTTTTTGCTATCTTACTTAACGGAGTATTTTATGAGATAATGGACTTGTAAGTAAGGAAAGAGAAAGTAATCAAAGTAATATGGGCCCGTGATAATGATGATAGTGTATAAATGAGGTACGAAATATATTCACACGTAAAGTTTAGGGGTAAATCAAAAAGTAACTATTCCTATTATCAAATTATCTCTTATTTCCTTTTTCATAAAAAATGCACTTTTTCTATGATATACTAGATATTTATTTTTAAATTTATCATATGCAACTATTTATTATTAGAAAATTTTGGGGCCCCTATAAATATGGGGCCTCAAGCAGTTGCTTGAATTGCCTTACCATCGGGCCGCCCCTGCACGTGGACTTAGCTTGTTATGTTTGATTGTCAATTATTTATATCGACGGGTCATATAATTTAAATGGCGTTACTTAAATATTAGGTCATATAATTTTAATGGATTAATCTTCTTATTTTTTTTAATGAAATTAAATTTCTTCATCTTAGCGGAAACTTTTGACAAGAGTGGGCTGCTCTAGCGGTTAACACCCTCCACTTCCAATCAAGAGGTTGAGAGTTCGAGTCACCCCAAGAGTAAGGTGGGGAGTTCTTGGAGGGAGGGAGCCGAGGGTATATCGGAAACAGCCTCTCTACTCCAGGGTAGGAGTAAGGTCTGCGTACACACTACCCTACCCAAACTCCACTAGTGAAATTATACTAGATTGTTATTGTTGTTGTTAGCGGAAACATTTAAATCATGATTTCTTCTCATGTACCTAACTTTGATGGATAAAATTATCCGTAGTGGACGATAGGTCATCTTGCCAATGTTAGTTTTAAAAAAAAAGCGTCACACGCCAAGTAAGCAATTTCATTTTTACTTTTTCTTTTCCGAAACAACAAAATTATAAAAGTTGAAATTGATTATTCTTTACGTATTAGCCACAAATAGTTGGTCCTTTCAGTCTAATTACAAACTTAATGGTGATCCTTGATATACCAGTACCTACTATCCTTTTTTTTCTTTCTTTCATTCTTTTTTATTTCCTTTCTAACATATGATTAAATTGTCGACTATTTTCACCTTCATCAAATTATGAATAACGGGAAAGTTTTATTTTGTAGGTACATCCATTTAGTTTAGTCATGATTAGCCAAAATGCAATTATGCAACAACAACAAGAACAACATACCCAGTATTATCCCACACTGTGGGGTATGGGGAAGATAGTGTGTACACAAACTTTACCCCTACCTTGTGAGAATAGAGATGTTGTTTCCAATAGACCATTGGCTCAGGAAAGTATAAGCACCACATTAATGAAAATATAGATAAGAAGGGACAGTACCAAAAATCATATAAAAGCAAAATAAAAACAACAAGATAGTAAGGTGATCAACAATGAAAGAAAACAATGGTTAGTCATAAAAACCTACTACCAACAGAAAGCGAGATTGCATGCCAATAATACTATTATGAACACTCTAGACTACCTACTCTACTACCCTAATCCTCGACCTCCATACCTTCCTATCAAGGGTCATGTCCTCGGTCAAGTGAAGATGCGCCATGTCATACCTAATCACCTCTCCCCGCCTCTTCTTTGGCCTATATCTACCTCTTCGTAGGCCATCCACTGTCAACTCCTCACACCTCCTCACAGGAGCGTATGTGCTCCTCTTCCTCACATGACCAAACCACCTAAGCTGCGCTTCCCGCATCTTGTCCTCAATAGGGGTCACACCCACCTTGTCGCGAATAACCTCACACTACAAAAAAGGGGGAAATTGCAGCGATTTTTGTACGGCGGTTCTCAAAAACCGCCAGAATATATCATATTTGCGGCATCTTTCTATCCGCCATATTACGAATTTGTATAGTGGCGTTTTAATCTGTATTTGCGGCGGTGAAAGCCGCCTTATTTATTACTTTAATTTTAAAATATCTTTTGGTTTATTTCAAAATGCAAAGCTATGTAAACTCACAAATTAGAATTACCTCTCACTCTCCGGCACAAGCAAACCCTAGTCTCTGCATTTTATCTCTCTCCCTCTCCCTCCCACCAAATATGGCACAAATCATCGGCGACATTCACTAGATCGTCGTAGTCGGCGACTCCCTCTCCTCTCCTTTCCGTCTCCTCTTCTCGCCAGGTCTCCGATGAAGCTCGCGAAGGAGTTCGCTAATCTCCATCCGCCTTTGTTGATGGCAACTCCCAATTCCAAAGAAATTTCAGCCAGGACTTTCTATTTCCTATCCTTTTTGCTTATGTGCGTGTAGGTATCTGTGTGGATCTACGGTTTCTTTGTGGTTATGCAATGTTTCGTCACTTTAGTTGTTAGATCTGTTCTTAGCTTTATTTTTAAGAGATTTTGTGTATCCAGTGTGGTAAGGAACTGACTTTTCTATGATTGAAATTTGTTAGAAGTTCTTTTGGTCAGTTAGGGTAGGGATGCGAGGATCCTTAGTTTTGGGTGTTTAAGGTTATATTTGTAGAATGCGTACAAGGATGGCATAGTGGCCCTAACTAGTTTAGGATTGAGGCGTAGTTGATTGATTAAATCAAGAGTTGTGTGGAGTAGTGTTTTATTGTCATTTACTGCTATAAATTCTTATGCGAGCTATGGAACTGCTAGTTGAAGAATAATTAGTCTACCTGAATTAATTGTAGTATCATTTGGAATGATATAGTAGTGATTAGTCATCTATCTCTATTAGCTATCTACTATTTATACATGTTTATACATAGAGTATACATATATTATATATCTATCGACTATTTATAATTTAAGAAGTTGAGTGAGCGGCTAATTAGATTAATTCTTTTATCACAAGTATTTCCCACTTAATAGCCAATTTATCCCCAACCTCACTCTCCCATGTTCTGTTGAGGTGAAACTCAGTGCATACTGCAATTTCAGAGTAGAAGCCAAACTGCATTGAGCACTATGTACTTAAAAAGCCTCTTCTCAAGCACATTGGACTATCTCAAAATGAATTTAATACAAAGAGAATCAGAGTTAGATTACTAAAGTTAGAGCCTAAGTTCCTGTAATCTACAAACTTTGCTGTTGTACTACTATTTAATTTAGTTCATAATAGTAATTGTTCAATTGGAAAGTAAAACACTACAAAATCCTAGCAGTTAGGCACCACATCAGCACCTTATAACAGCATTTTGAAGACATTTCCTAGCAACAAGTTCAAAGTAAACTCTTGGGACCAAAGCTTAGAGTACACACCTATTGAAGGATACATGTCCCTTTGAGGAATGATACAGAGAAGATTAGCATCGCCCTTGCGTGAAAGATCATACGCACAAATCGAGAAATTATCTCAGAAAACTATTAAAGGATATAGTTGTCCTAAACCATTATAGTCTTCTCTACAATTGTTGCAACACATCTTATTCTTGCATTTGTAAAATGTAGTGTTAGAGTGTTCGATAATATGCTTCAGTGAAAAAATTAAATTGTTGACATTTTTGTCTTAGCTAATGTTTGAAGATGGTAGTAAATGTTGATCATGCGTATTAACATTGATTAATTATTAAGGGATAATCAATTTAGACTTGATGAAAGGAGGACTCGAAGTTGTTTTCTCTTTTTACGTACCTACCTGTGGGATAATGTTTTACTCATTTTGGGGTGTTTTTATGGGATTAATATCGCTTTTGTTGGTTTTTTTAACTATGCAAACTTGGCACGCTGTAAAATTGTGAATTCAAAATTAGTTGAATTTGCAGATAATGTTGGGAATGCAGTCAGCAAGGCTGTGCAGGGTCTTGTGGAAGCTTGGCGAGTCTCATTTGTGTTTGTGCTCCAAGGTGAATAGGTTCTCCTTCCTATACTATGTTTCCTTTTTATTGTATGTGTATTGCGTACTGATCTTAATCTTATGTATGCCTCAGTCCAATTGAGCTGAATAAGTTTTTTCTTTAATTTATTTTGCTACAGGTGTGATCATAATGAAACTCAGCTATGGCACAAATTGAAAGCATTCTTCTTTCTATTTGAGGTATTGAAACTCAGATTATTCTCACTAGTGTTATATACCTATTGAATTTCAGCTATTGTGAAAATGAAGATCTATTATTTAAACCAATATATATTATATTGGTTCATACCGTGATCCTTGAGTTACTTGAAGCCTGAAGTGTTTTTTCTTTTTTCATCAACCAAGCGCATTCTGAATGTTCTACAGTATATTGAACATAATTTCTCCTTTTATAAGTAAGGGCGTTTTGTGAGCAAATATAGTCTTATTTTCAGTTGCAGTCAAGGAAATTTCAGCTATTGTAAAAATATAAATGCATTGTATTTGTTACGACCCGAAATTTTTACCTTTGGGACCATGATGGCGCCTAATATTTCACTTGCTAGGAAAGCCAACGTTAGAGAACCGTTAAGTCAATTGCTATTCGGTTTCAACAAATAAAGTCAATTAAGCCAAAATGAAACAAAATCGAGTGCGGAATAACATAAATGCCCATAATATCTACTACAATCCGGATCTTGAGTCACAACTCACGAGTTTCTAAGATTTTCTACAAACAGAGTCTGAAAGAAATATAACTGTTTTGAACGAAAAGAAACAGTAAAATAGGGAAAATAGAAGGGGACTCCAAGGTTTGCGGACGCCAGCATATCTACCTCGAGTCTACAATGAGCAAATCTAAGCTGCTACGCCTCACGAACAGCTAGGGCTGGTACCAAAGTCTGCACAAGAAGTGTAGAGTGTAGTATGAGTACAACCGACCCCATGTACTCGTAAGTGTCGAGCCTAACCTCGACGAAGTAGTGATAAGGCTATGACAAGACACCCACATAATAAACCTGTGCAGATAACAGTATATATACAAGATAACAACAAATAAAAGCTAAACACGTACTATTAGAGGGGGACATGCTAAGGGGATACAAGATATGAGAGATACAGCGGAAATGATAACCAGAACAGTCAATATGCCTTTAACTATTAAAAACAATTAAGCATAATGAAGAAAATTGCACGGCATCACCCTTCGTGCTTTTACTCTCAACCTCACAATGAAACAATGATTCTGCACGGCATCACGCTTCGTGCTTTTACTCTCACTCTCAGTGTAAATCAGTAGATACGACACGGCATCACCCTTCGTGCTTTTACTCTCACTCTCAGTGTAAATCAGTAGATACGACACGGCATCACCCTTCGTGCATTAATTCTCATAACATGGCACGACATCACCCTTCGTGAACTAACACTCACAATATGGCATGGCATCACTCTTCGTGCATTAACACTCATATACGGCACGACATCACCCTTCGTGCATTAACACTCTTCCTTACACATAACAATGAACAAATAATAATAGGGAGATAGGATCAGCAAGAACAAGCCCGACTTCAACAATAGTTCCACAATAGCAGTCTCAACATTAGAATCAATACTCAATTATCACAAAGCCCATAAACACGAGAAGAACAATAAATTTAACGAATAACTAGTCTAAGCATGGATAACATGATCAAAGTAAGCAATAATTGCAAGGAACAAGTCCCACCTGCATACTTTAACCCGACAACAACGCATAAGTACTCATCACCTCACATATACGTTGTACCCAATATCTAAACATGTAGCATATAGACAAACAAGTCCTAATCCCTCAAGTCAAGGTTAACCACGACACTTACCTTGCTCCAAAGGTCAACTCAAAGCTCAATCACATCTTTGCCTTTCAAACAAGCCTCCGAACCAATAGAATCAAGCAAATTACCAACCAAACGATTCAAATTAAGTCTTAGGAACTATCCACGATTGTAAAGGATTCAATTTAGGTCATTATTGAAAAAGTCAACAAACGTCAACTTCCGGGCCCGCTTGGTCCAAACCCGAAATTCGGACCAAAACTCGATTACCCATTCACCCTCGAGCCTGGTTATGTAATTTGTTTTGGAATCCGATCTTAATTTGAGGTCTAATTCCCAATTTTACAAAAATCCCTAATTCTACCCAAACCCCCAATTTTCACTATGAAAACACTAGATTTTAGGTTGAAATCTTAGGAAATGTAATGAAAGATTGTAAGAAAATAGGTTAGAATCACTTACCAATGATTTGGGGAAGAAGTGCTCTTGGAAAAATCGCCTCTAGGGTTTCTAAGTGTAAAAATATGAGAGAATGAACAAAAATCGCATTTCTCAACTATTTAATCAGTCGCAGATGTCGCATTTGCGACTTGGGGTTCGGAAATGCAAGCCCCGCAAATGCGAAGAAACATTCGCAAAAGCGAAGGCCTCCTATCTTTGCTTTCATCGCATTTGCGATGACTTGTTCGCAAATGCGAACATTGATCTTCCGCATTTGCGACCAAATTGATCGCAAATGCGACCAAGCCTGCCCCAGCCCCACTTCGCAAATGCGAAGTATTGTTCGCAAATGCGAACTTTGGCCTCCCCGCAATTGCGACCTCTTGATCGCAAATGCGAACTCATGCTGACCCAGGTACTCTTCGCAAATGCGAGCCTATCAGGATTGGGGAATGTTCGCAAATGCGATTACTGATCTCGCAATTGCGAGATTAGACACCAGTTACAAGAAATTGCAGAACCAGCTGAGTTTTCTAAGTCCAAACTACTCCGTAGCCTATCCGAAACTCACCCGAGCCCTCGGGGCTCCAAACCAAATATGCACACAAGTCTAAAAATATCATATAAACTTGCTCGCGCGATCAAATCGCCAAAATAACACCTAGAACTATGAATCAGACACCAAAATCAAATTAAATTTTCAAGAAACTTTAGAATTGCTATATTAACAACAGGACGTCCGAATCACGTCAAACCAACTCCGTTTCACACCACATTTAACAGATAAGTCATAAATGTAGTATTGGACCTATACCGGGTTCCGGAACCAAAATACGGACCCGATATCAATAAAGTCAAACATTGGTCAAATTTTCAAAGTCATTAAGCTTTCAAACTTTTAAATTTCAACAAACTCCGATAACTCGCGTTAGGGACTTCCGAATTCGATTTCGGACATACGCCCAAGTCCCAAATCACGATACGGACCCACGGGATCGTCAAAATACGGATCTGGGTTCATTTGCTCAAAACGTTGACCGAAATCAACTCAAATGGATATGAAGGTAAAAATTTCATATTTTCTCAGATTTTTTAACATAAAAGCTTTTCGAAAAAATATTCGGACTGCGCACGCAAATCAAGGAGGGTTAAGATGAGGTATTTAAAGCTTCAAAGCGCAGAATTAAGTTCTAAAATATAAGATGACCTATCGGGTCATTACAGTATTTAATGTATTTATTATATTGGTTTTCTACTTTAATCCTTGGAGTTACTTATTGCTTGTTGTTTCAATTTATGTTATAGGTACTGGATATAAGAAATAGCGTCCCAACACCTAAAAATACAAGATCACCAGATGGAAATAGCAAAGCCATCATGCAAGTGCTCATTGAATATTATTTCTAGGATTTATCATAATTATTTTCCTTCTGTTGAATTGATGTAAACTATTACTCCTTGAAGTTTTAATTAATACATTTATGTTAGTGATTTTGAATTGCTTATTCTTTTTATAAATGATGAATGATCTGTTTAATTAATCTTTTTTTAAAATTGTGTCAAAACTATTATACAGTAATATATAAGTTTTGGGTATAAAATATAATGAAAACAATGTCAAAAAGGACTACAAATAGAAAAGTAAAATTACGGCGCCTATTGGTAAAATTACGGCGGTTGGGGACCACCACTATTTTAGTTTGTGGTATCAACTTTCTAATTGTGACCGTTTCAAACCGCCATTTTAAGAAATAAAGAACCGTCATTTTAACAATGCACAATTTTGGCGGTTTTCTGAAAATAGTCGTATTAACTTTTTGACTGATGCAATTTCGACGCTTTTGATAGACCGCCATTAATGATGATACTGGCGGTTAAAGCCGCCATAATATGTAAGAAAAAGCTGCCACAATATCCCCGTTTTCTTGTAGTGTCATTTCTGATCCTATCTAACTTGGTGTGTCCGTACATCCATCTCAACATTTTCATCTCTGCTATCTTCATCTTCTGGACGTGAGAGACTGGCCTTCCAAACGTGAAGATTTTGTTTTCTAAGTGAAGATTTTGTTGTTGAAAGAGATGAACTAGGAAGGATTTAAACACCAAACGTGGATTTATAGTAATTTTGAATAAACGTAATAATTTTTTGAAGAGCGTACACAGAGATTGAAATTAAGGACCCCTTTGGCTATTGATTTTGTCAAATAATTTCTAAATTGTTTTTTGACAAATACATGTTTGTTCATAAATTTTATTCATATTTTAGCAAAATCCCAAAACCCAAAACTCAAGAGCTGGTTTTGCCCAAAATATTACTATTATATTTTTTAAAAATTGCCCCAAACTTTTGTATTTTATAAAAGAGCCCACCATTTATTATTTTGTAACAATGCTGCTTCGTCTTCTCGGTCATATGATAAAATTATGTAGTTCATTATAAAAATGATAATTTTGTAATAAATTTATTTATGTTCAGGATTATGGTTTATGATAATGATAATGAATGTTATTGATGAAGGTACTGTTGGGTATTTGTAATAGTTTTTAGAATTCGTGGGTATAAGTCATATTTCATGTTTTTTTTTAAAAAAAAAGTGAAATATGATTTGAAAACTGATGTCCAAACACATTTATATCTCCAAATCAAATTTCACCCAAATCAGATTTTTTAAAACAAATTTAAAAATTTATGGCCAAACAAACGCTAGCTAAAATTGCGGAAATAATTTTTCCGTGACTTCATTGGAGTAAACGGTAGAAGAATCGGAATATATCGATTTCATACTTGTCCGTATAACTAGAACTAGAAATTTAATTAACTTTACCATGTCCATGAAGGAGATGAACTAGTTTTTTTAAAAAAAATTTGTTGGAGAAAGGTAATAAAAACGTCAACTAGTATTATAGCCTCTTTGGCCAAACTTCTCACCATACCAAAAGTATTTTTTTTCTCAATTTGAGTTGTTTGGCCAAATCTTTTTTTGGAAAAAAAAGTGCTTTTGACTAGAAGCAGAAGCAGTTTTGAAGAACCAGAAAAAAATAGCTTCTCTTCAGAAGCAGAAGCACAAACAGTTTTGACTTTTCTTCCTAACAAAAATATCCTTTGTAAAATATTATATATACCAAAATAACCTTACTTAGTTTAAACTATTAAGTAATATAAAATGACTTTTGGGATAAATAACTTTCATATTTATTGAATGATTTTTTGATATATTTAAAATATCTTGAAAGAATAAAGTACTTTTAATTTTATTTT